TTCATGTGCAGATAATTTTAACTTCCTTCATCTAACATTTGTTTTGTCATACGCTGATAAAATGTTTTCTCTGTTTTTCCATATTGTTGCAACAGCAGACTTTCCAAGTGCTAATTCATGATGATGTATGATCAATTTAATGCATAAAGCCTTCCTAACATCTAAGCAATTTGTATGTGGCTGGTCCCGTACATTGGACTAGTCTGGAATATTTTAATAGGCGCCTCATTGGATCAACGTGGACTTGATGTTGTCGCATTGCAATTTCATTGGTCGCTGGTTCCTCATAGTCGAATTTAATTGGTCATATCAGATATGACATTGTCGTTGGAGCATCGTAGGTATTGCGACTGTTTACTCAGTATTTTTTGCTACAATTAATTACTATTTTCTACAATAAAGATGGCATTTTGGCGATTAATGTTAATGGCGTATCAAGTTCTAAAGACTGATAGCAATGAATAGGTAAGCGTAAATTTTTTTTGTCGCCACACTTACCTTCATCATCAGCCTCCGGTCATCCACTGATAAATAGGGGCTTCCTCCAAATGCTGTGCTCCGCCCAGTTTATCCCAGCTATGTTTTAGGGGTCTTCCAGTGTTTCTATTTGTAGTTCTCGGACGCCATGTATTATCGTTCAGCTGCTCTCGAACAACATCCTTTATCCCTGATCTTCCTCTGATGAGATCCTTCAAGCTGATCCCCAGCATAGAGCGTTCCATAGCTCTTTGGGCTGTGCTGTTTCTCGGCATTTCGCTGGAGAGTCTTCTCTTTCCCTCGACTTGTTCGCTCTAAGTACCTACTTTCATATAGGAGTTGCCCTCGGTAGCTTTTTGCATTAGCAGGTTATTATATAATCTCATCGGGTCTCTTCTACTTTCCCTTCTGATTGTTTTACACATCTCCCTTTATTAATGAGATTTCGTTGTCCATTGCCTATGCCTTTGCTCTATCAGTTTTAGTGTCTGCAAGCTTAGTCTTGATTAGTCTTGTTGTTCTTATTGTTGTTGAAAGCTCGTGGGGGTCCATTTTTTTTCAGTTCTTTAGGTTTCCTAGTTTTGAATTCAATACTTTTTGGTATTTTTCGTCTTCTAGCATCAACATTTCTGGAGTTATAGTCTTTTGTTGAATCATCTCATCAGCTCCCGCGTTGATTATTACCACCTTCTACCAGTCCATGGTTGCTACCGGTATCGAATTGGTTTAGAAAAGATAAATCCTAACATGTAATAGTGTTTTCCCCTTTCGTTCCGGGTTCTCAGCCCGTTTGGAGTAATACTTACGTATACTAATATTACTATTATTCTGAGTTTTTCGCTCTACTCACCTGGGGTTAGTATAGTTTCTGTCTTAATACCTTTGTCTTGCTTGTCTGCTTGTCTCTATGCTCTCTAGAGAAAGTAAAATTATTTTACTTACTCTATGCTTAAAACTAACTCATAGATAAAGACAAGTGACTCATGTTTGATGGGCATTTGAATAACGGCGCCAACAGCCACTACTACACGAACAGTTCCTCGGTTAAATATTATTAAATCGGACTTATTTCTATTAATAAATCGGAAATTTCATGGAAAGTCCATTAGTAAATTAAAGTAAATTTGTTCCAATCAGTTGATTGCAATTAATTATCCGGAATTAAATCTATATCAAAGAGTAATCCCTAATTTGACTAAATGTATATCCGGTAGCGAAAGAACCAATGACTTGCAGCGTCTGTTAAATTCCGTCGTATGATTGGTCAGCGTGGCGAAGTTTCTGGAAGTCTATCGGCCCCCTGTATAAATACCGCCATTTGTAAAGTTTCGGCGGATTTGCTCTTAGTCGTTGCAGTTGCGAGTAGCTCTCGTTAAGTTTTTGTGCTATAAAACCTTATTAGAACAAAGAATAGGTAAGATTGAAGTGTTCTTTATTAACTAGTTGTTATATTGTCGTGTCTGACTACCCATTTTGACGTGGAAATGCCATTTTAAACGATTTCCTTTGTAAGTGGCACGTGCAAAAAAGAAATCGATTTCCCGTTGTTTGAACAGTAAATCAGTCTTCCAGAAAGTTCCAGTACGTTATTTAGCTTTGTTGAGGGGTAAATTGCGGAATTTTGTATTTGCGGTATTGGGCGTTGTTGGCCTCGTGTTAATTCAAGGTTATCTTTTAAGCGTCAGCTAAAACCGCTTGTTTTTAACTAATTTCCTTATTCTGAAGTCTCGGGATCAATTGGCAACCATCAACCACCCTCATCTCCTAATTGTGTTGTTTAAAAGTTTGGTTCGTTTTTAGGCTTGTTTGTGTGTTTCCGAAGAATTTGGTTAAAAATGTTACGAAAAATCGGCTAATCGCCTTTGTTTGTTCACATATTTCGTTTTGTTTCAGAAAATGGCAAAGGCACCAGCTGTAGGAATCGATCTTGGCACAACTTACTCCTGTGTTGGCGTCTTCCAACACGGAAAGGTTGAAATCATTGCCAATGACCAGGGTAACAGAACGACGCCCTCATATGTTGCCTTCACAGATACGGAGCGTCTGATTGGGGATGCTGCCAAGAACCAAGTGGCCATGAACCCCAACAACACAATTTTTGGTAAGGAATTTTCCCATCTTGGTCCCTTCAAGATATTCAACAAGATTGCGGCCCTAACAGTGCCTTATTATTTACAGACGCCAAACGTCTGATTGGAAGACGGTTTGATGACCCTACAGTGCAAGCTGACATGAAGCATTGGCCATTCGAGGTCATGAACGATAGCACCAAACCTAAAATTAAAGTAGACTACAAAGGAGAATCGAAGACTTTCTTCCCTGAAGAAATCAGTTCCATGGTCCTCACCAAAATGAAGGTAGTTGTTCATCGCCCTTTGCAAAAACAATATCTATAACGGTATCAATTTTTCACAGGAAACTGCTGAAGCCTATTTAGGTAAATCAGTCACCAACGCTGTTATTACAGTGCCAGCTTATTTCAATGACTCTCAACGTCAAGCAACAAAGGACTCTGGAACTATCTCAGGTCTTCAGGTTCTCAGAATCATCAATGAACCAACTGCGGCCGCAATTGCGTATGGTCTTGACAAGAAAGGTAATTGCTCATTTATGCTAATTGATCACATTCAAGCAATGTTTCCACTTAATGATGATATTATAAAACGTCATGCCAGACTGGAGTTTATGAGCTACATTATGATTTTCAAAATAACTGATTAAATTGGTCCATCGTTTCTTCCGCGTTGAATTGAATACAGAGCCAGATGAATATGTTGATTTTTTTCCAGGGCAAGGAGAACGCAACGTATTGATTTTCGATTTGGGTGGTGGAACTTTCGATGTGTCCATCTTAACTATTGAGGATGGTATCTTCGAAGTAAAGTCTACTGCTGGAGACACTCACTTGGGAGGTGAAGATTTCGATAACAGGATGGTCAATCACTTTGTGCAGGAATTCAAGCGCAAGTACAAAAAGGACCTCGCCTCCAACAAGAGAGCCCTGAGACGGCTCAGAACTGCCTGTGAAAGGGCGAAGAGGACTCTGTCTTCTTCAACCCAAGCCAGCATCGAAATCGATTCCTTGTTTGAAGGAATCGACTTCTACACCTCCATCACCCGTGCCCGTTTCGAAGAATTGAATGCCGATCTGTTCCGTTCCACCATGGAACCTGTTGAAAAGGCCATTCGCGATGCTAAGATGGACAAATCCCAAGTCCACGACATCGTGTTAGTAGGAGGCTCCACCCGTATTCCCAAAGTCCAGAAATTGCTTCAGGACTTCTTCAACGGAAAGGAGCTGAACAAGTCGATCAACCCTGACGAGGCTGTTGCGTATGGTGCGGCCGTGCAAGCTGCCATTTTACATGGTGACAAGTCTGAGGAGGTGCAAGATTTGCTTCTTCTGGATGTTACTCCCTTGTCGTTGGGCATTGAGACTGCCGGAGGTGTGATGACCGCCCTCATTAAGAGGAACACCACCATTCCCACCAAGCAGACTCAGACCTTTACCACCTACTCTGATAATCAGCCTGGAGTGCTCATCCAAGTAAGTTTTGGCTCAGTTGTCAACAGTAGATTTCCTGATGTTTCAATGATGATATTATAAAACGTCATGCCAGACTGGAGTTTATGAGCTACATTATGATTTTTTCAATTTCTGAATCGCCCATTTTCAACTGGCATGTTTATGGTGTTATTGTTTTTGCTGACGCATTCGTTTGTTTTAGGTGTACGAAGGTGAGCGTGCCATGACGCGCGACAACAACTTGTTGGGTAAATTCGAGCTCACCGGAATTCCACCAGCTCCCCGTGGCGTGCCACAGATCGAAGTAACCTTCGACATTGATGCTAACGGTATCCTCAATGTTACGGCTATTGAAAAATCCACCAACAAGGAGAACAAGATCACCATCACCAACGACAAAGGCCGCCTTAGCAAGGAGGACATCGAGCGGATGGTCAATGAAGCCGAAAAGTACAGGAATGAGGACGAGAAACAAAGAGGAAACATTTCGGCCAAGAACGCTTTGGAATCCTACTGCTTCAACATCAAGAGCACCATGGAGGATGACAAAATCAAGGAGAAGATCAGCGACAGCGAGAAACAAACTGTTTTGGACAAGTGCAACGAGATCATCGGGTGGTTGGACGCCAACCAGCTTGCTGATAAGGAAGAATACGAACACAAACAGAAGGAACTGGAGGGAATTTGCAACCCCATCATTACTAAGTTGTACGGAGGGGCCGGCGCACCACCTGGTGGTATGCCTGGCGGATTCCCAGGTGGAGCGGGTGCTGCACCTGAAGCTGGCGGCGCTGCTGGAGGTGCCGGACCAACAATTGAAGAAGTCGATTAAGAGTTGGAATTTTTTTATTCTTGATTTAATATACTTTTTATAATGTTCCGAATTTGGCATGGCAACTAGTTTCTAAATTCGCGTTATTTTAAAGGTATTAAACGTTCTATGATTTAACCTGTTGTGTTTGTTCCTGATTAGCAGCCTGAAATGGATCGATGATTATTGTTTTGCGATAGGAAAAGCTGATTTTTATTTTTTACATATGTATAAGTATTGCAAAATGCCCATGAATGAAATCGACTCAATCGCATATCATGCAATCGACATCATCCTGATCAACATTGATCACCAGGTCATCAGATTCATCCACATTGCTCGGCTTGGGTTTAATGACAATATTCTCCAGAACATTCACCATGCTGTTCTCCACAGCCACATCGTTCTTGAAGCTTTCAATTTCGTTCTTCAGTTTTTTTAGTCGTTTTTCTTTGTGAAGTTTGTTCTTCTCATCTCTGTCGTTTCTCTCCTGCTCCATTTTCTCGCGCTGTGCAATGTTTTCAGGCGCTACCGGCTGACTTTTTATAAATTTTTCAATGGCTTTATCTAATTTACTGTTTTCACTGGCAAGTTGCTCTTTCTTCAACTCTTGGGGCTCAGTTACTTGCATTTTCTCGTCGTGTGAATGCACTTTTTTGACCAAGTTTTTTCTTTTTACGCGATCCTGTATTACCTGCAAACTATCATTGCTGCTGCTGTCTGAGTCTGTTTTATTTGCGTTAACTTCTTTGTTCTCAGCTTGCATTGTCTGATGATTGACGACATTCACAGGTAAAGATTCTTCGTTGATTGTTTGTTCAGTCGCCAGATCGTTTCCTTCTGTTGATTTTTCATTAAGTTGACTGCTGGAGTCCGCTTCGCTTGGGGCAATTGTTGAGCTGCTTACTTGAACGGTCTCCTGTTTGGAAGTAGCTGAAACGTTTTAAAAGCAAATGATTATAAGTTAATTGCGTCCACCCTGACTAGTACCTTCGCTTTCTGAATCACTAGAAGTGATGATAATTTCCACTTGTTTCGGGATCTCCATGATAACTTCATCGTCATCTTCCGGTTGATGATCAGCTTTTGAATTGCTTTCGGTCACTTTCTGTTCTTGCTTTTTTTTGCTTTCCAGTTCCAGCTGCGATTTGATCGCCCTGGCGCGAGCCTGGAGCTCAAGCAGTTCCAACACACTCATCAAATTCTCTTCGCCAATTGCATCCTTTTCTTTGCTGTTTGCCTTTTCACCCCGACTAAGTTTCTCCTTCACCTGCTCTATTTCTTTCACTTTATTCTTGTCGGGTTTCTCTTTTTTAACATCGCGGCGCTTTCCTGTGGGTTCTTTCTTAATCCTGCTTCTTTTATGCTTATGCCGAGGCTTATTCGTCTCATCATCTTCAAACAAACAGGTATATAAACGTATACTGACGATTCAAAATAGGCTTACCCGAGATAACAATAAAATCATCATCACTGATATCATCAAGTGAAATCACATCTTCAGCGTGATCCTCGTCAGTGCTGCTGTCCTCTTCTAGAGTTTTTCCTTCGAATATGTACTTGAGTCTCCTATTGGAAATTCCCAGCAATTCCTCCAAGAGCATCGAGTTAATTTCCTGCATATCCATGTTCTAAAACAATTGTATGCGTAGAATAAGCTATCTAAACACAGACTATTAAGAACAGTTGAATTGCCGGCTGCAAAAACCTACTTTCATGCATTCAGGGGCCATGCTTTTCATCTTTTTGGGCTTGATTATCTTCAAAACTTCCTTCATTAATTTCACTCTATCTTCAACGTAGTAGGAAAGTTCGTGTTCGCTTTCATCATCTGTTCCAGACTCAGCCGCAATTAGTTTCGACAGTTTTCTTTTACTTTTAGACATTTTCTGCAGATTTTTCGTTATAACAGCTAGCGTATTTTCCCGTTAACTGTTTACCATAGAGTAAGTAAAATCTTATTTTACTTTCTCTATGCTGTTTACTATTTTTACGAAATGTCAATGCCATAGATAAAGACGAGTTAACCTCACTAAACTAGTTATTGGATTGGCCCCACCCATGGTGATACTTCGGGCTAACTACTGAAATTATTCTTTGGGCAGTATTAATGGCCCTAAATATCCAGTTGGTGGATTTAAATTTGGTCATAGAATTTTGTAAAATAAGTTGCGAAAATAAAACAAAAAGTTTAGAAACCCCAATAAAATAAGGACGCAACATTTGGCAGCCATGGTTTTTTATTCTTGTCAGTTTAGAGATCAATATAGTCCAATCTAACCAATTCACAATGTTTACTACTAGCTAGCCTAAGTTTAGTTTTTGCTGATTTTTTCGAGCCATTTGAAAGCCTTAGGCTCGATTAACTCAACCCGACAGGGAGCGTATCGAACATAACATTCCATTAAAGTGCAAAATCGCAAAAATCAAGTGAAAATGATAGATAAAGAAATGGAAAGTTCAGAACTAGGAACTTTGGAGTACTGGCAAGACCGGTATAAAACTGAAATGAGGAACTTTTCCAGTCATGGAGACACTGGAGAGGTGTGGTTTGGAGATGATGTTGTCGATAGAATAATCAATTGGATCCGTTCAAACATCCCTCAAAGCCAGAGTATTGTGGATGTGGGTTGCGGAAATGGGCATATTCTTATGGAACTGGCCCAACTCGGCTATGAAAGTCTGACGGGGCTCGATTACTCAGACGAAGCCATTCAATTGGCTAAGGCCATAGCCGGTCAGCAAGGCTTGCAGATAAAGTACCAAGTGAACAATGCTGTTGAAGGACTGGGCAGTATCTACGACGTGGTGCACGATAAGGGAACGTACGATGCGATCAGCTTGAGCGAGAACTCTAAAGACGCCTGCCATAAATACATCTCCAGCGTGAAAAGCGCCTTAAAAGAAAATGGCCATTTTCTGATTACATCTTGCAATTGGACCCATTCTGAGTTGGAGGAGCAATTCAAGGCCTTCTTTGCACTGCACACCAACATCCCTACAACACAATTTAAATTTGGGGGCAAAATTGGAAGCGTTGTTTCAATTTGCGTATTTAAACATAGTAAATAAGGCTTAAACAGTTTAAATCGAATGTTTAATCCACATCCTTCAAATAAGCATTCATTTCACTAGACTGAAAACATGCTGATACTGTCGAAAACGTTTAAGTTGCACACTGAAGGGACAAAAAAATCTAATCAGACTGATTGCATAATGTGGGCGTATACTTGCCTAAGAAATCATTTATTCTTTTTCATAGTAGATCGCGACCTGTCTGGCATAGAAAACTCATCTTCAGTATCTACTAAGACGCCGCAAGGTCTAGGAAACCACCCTCTTTGTCTGAAGACCACTTGCTGCTCCTCTGTTAGATCAGGCTGGAGCTTTTCGCCAAACAGCCAATGTCTAAAACAAGTCAGTTTATTTAAAAATAGTCTAGTTAATTAATTATTTGTTTCAACTACATATTTAAGCACTTTAAGAGGCTAAAGATTCGTGAATTACTCACTTTCTCCATCTCGTTACGCGTATGACATCGCCGATGTCTAATTTCAGTCTTGGTTCGTCAGTGCAAGGAAAACCGTAGCAAACTTTAAGTCCAAAAACTATTGGGAACCAGTAGCCTGAGAACGGTTTGATGATTTGATAATGGCACGCCCTCAGTTGTTTTTCTTCCTTCTGTTTCAACTGTTCAATCTGGAAAAAGCATTCCAAAATAGATTCATGAATCAAATTATGTTGAATTTGTCAAGTGCGAAAAGCTTCATTGTTGAGTTACCGTAAGAGAATATTGAGTGCAACCATCTCTAACTGGCCAATGAATTCCGTCTCCAATCGGTTGCCCATTTAAGCTCACAACCTGCGCAACGTTTTTTCGCCAGCCCAAATCATACGGATAAACAAAAGGCTCTTGATTCCTGGCTTTCCGACGTGAATTCGCTTTTTCCAATATCCAGTCTTCAACTGCCGTCTGATTGCTCAGTATTACACGTACCTAGATTAGTGAGGAACTGCATTTTCAAGCACTTGTAATCCTGGCCGTCGTCAAATTATACCTGTATTACAAGCAGCATTCCTACAGCAACAACAACTCCTAGGGCAAAACCCAACGCGAGAACTGTTAATCCCAATCCCATCAGTCCTAAATTCACAATTGGCACGTTTCTAATATGGTTTACTAAATAGTAATTTCTGTATAATGCTCTAAAACAACATAGGATTTACGTTTTCAGAGTAAAATACTGTTCAAATTCCAACTCACCTATACATGGCACATGCTAGTACAATACTAGCATGCATACAGCCCAGAGTGGCATAAAATAGGAAGTAGGTGAAATGAGCATGATTACCCCACCCCACACAGTTGTTAATCCAGGGACAATGATGGTCCTTCTTTTGGACGCATCTTCCACCTGCAATTAAATGGAAACTCAGCCAGTTGCACTACGGAAACATTCAAGAGTTTCACCAACATTTCCTACAGTGGTGTGAGCGGGGGGCTTTATATCCATGGCAAATCGCACATTTCTGCAGATACTTGCAATCATCAGGATTCTCCTACAAACGATAGTTTACAAGAAAGATTTGCTAAATGCAATAAACCTACCGGAGTCCAATTCAACGATAAATAGCCTGGGCCATGGAACATTGCACTTAATAAGTTATAAAAAGTCAACCCCGACCAGGCCATGAAAAACATGGTGTTGACAAAACCACCTGTTGTGCTGGAGGGCCACCACATTCCACTGCAATACATGGTCATTCCAGTAACGAACTTTATTATGCCTAAAACATGTTTTTCGGTTACTTGCTGATCGGTGTGGCATAAGGAATGGGTATTACCTAGGGCAGTCAGGGGCCCCAAATGGCACAGTCTTTTGAACACGCCGAAACACATCGTTGGGGGCGTATTCTCAGTCAACAAAGGCTTGAAGACAACGACAACTTAACCAGACATGAAAACGAGATTATTAATTGTTCCACAATTGCTAGTTCAGAAGTTGGGTGACAAATGTGGAAATCATGCTGCTAGACGCAGAAACTCAAATATATTGAGCGATTTTTTCCAGAAGTCATAGTATTTGTAAGGTACAAGTTCGTACAAGTTTGAAACACAAAGTGAACGTCAAAATAAACAAACATCATCACGTCAAGAAACTTTGGTTAGAGCTTTAATTCTTCTCCGATTTATATTTTTTCCTTATTTAATTTCCCAAATTTAAAGTATTCCGGTTATTAATTACCATCGTTGTAAATCCGAATTTCTCTAACCACACTAAAAAACATACAGGAACGACATCCTGAAGTGAGGTGGAAGTTTGAGGTTATTTTCGGTTAAACCTCAAAACATTTCAAATGCTGTAAACAATCAGAGTAAACAACAGTATTTGATACATTTATGTGTTCTATAGCGAGTAAGCCTTAATTGCGAAAGTAAGAGGCTTTTTCCAGTTGCCCCCCTGTTTTAATGGATGTTTCGCTTTCAGATGGATGCCAGCAGAACCAGCCACATAAAGGAGGCCCAAGCGACTCTGAGCACCATTTTAAAGATATCGGACCTGCTAAACACCGGTCTTAATGCAGAGGCGTTAACTCTATGCGTGAGACTTTGCGAGATGGGGGTCAATCCTGAGCGATTGGCTTCACTAGTCAAAGACCTGCAGAATGAGATAGCGGAGTATCAAAATCAAATCGAATCTATATCTGGCTCATCTAAGAACGTTCGTTCGGATGACCATTAGAGCTAGCTTTCGGGGCCAACGCTATTAAAATTAAATGTCCTTCAAGGGTGGATAAGGATGAAAGCCAGTTGTTCTGTTTAACAATATATTTGTTCAACTAATGAAGTCGAGTTTGAAATACAAGGTCCAATTTCACACTATAGTACAAATAAAAAAATATAAAAACAATATTGCAGGCAATAACAAGAATGGATCAAGCGCAACGCCCCCTAATATTCCAATTAATTGCTTTGAATAACTTTCACTTCGCACTCACACACTGTGATGTGCGTTATCACTGCAACGTCCATTTGTGCCCACTTACTGAATTAATATCCAAAAGACAAACAATAAATATTTAACAGATTATCATCAGCATCATCAGTTTACTTTTCTAAGCAGTTAACCGGATCCAAACTCGAACAGATATCCACTTCCAAAGCTGTTGGCTTTTCCAGGGGCGTCGTTATACTCGGGCTCTTTTTCCCCAAGTTCATTGCTGCTGGGAGTTGGCCTGGCTTGGAGCTGGGGGTAGGCGGAAGGTTGAGGGTAGGCAGATTGCTGGTAGGCCGGTCTAGGTTGGGTATTGGCTTGAGTGTACGTTTTGGGGTAGTAGTAGGACTGAGCCTGGCCTGATTGGGGCTTCTCGTACGCCTCGGCGCGGTATTGGCCGTCGTCGTATTGGTTGCTTGATGCGCGGGGCTAAATTAACATTGCCAAATTGTAAATGAGTTGGAGTTGCTGACGCAAATCTACCTGAGAGTAGGCTGCTTGCTGTTGTGGAACTGGGATCGGGGCAACCGGCTGAGGGGCTTTCGGCAAGTGATCTGCCTCCAAAATCCTGAATCCCTCCTTTCCAGCCGTGTATTTCACGGAAATTTTCTTACCATTGGGGTCCACGTAACTGTAGCCTCCAGTTCTGGTGCTACAGGGATGAACTCATTTACTATTCGCCTGGATCTACTCACAGTTCTTACCCGTCGGGGGCGATGCTTTCTCCTTGAGCGAGCCCATTCTCCGATGTGAACAAATACTTGAAGTTGCCGTCGTGATTCAGGGCTTGTTTGTGCGATAGAATTTGGGGAGGGGGCCTTCTGGGGTACTCCTCACTTTCTTCTCTGTATTGGCAGCTGCATGAGATGGCAAGAGTAAGGGTGAGGGCAACCGACTGAAATAAAGGATTTTTCAACAGTTTTCAAGGTCCAGATGTTAAGGTTGGGGCATCGTGTTGTAAATGCATTTTACATGGCTTCGGCACTACGCGTTATGGCCGGAGGCACGGTTTGTAAAACTACTGAAAATTTGAAAACTTCTAATGAACTGTTTACCCCAGCCATCCTGTATATAGAATTTTTTACTGCTAACAGAGGTAGTTGTCAAAATTGACGTGATTTTGAGTTTCCCATTAATTTTCTGAACTGTCGCAATATCTGACGTTCAGTTGTCAAACTGACAAACTGCCGCAATAAAGTTTATCGGTCTCCAGAAAACAGCTAACAGTTTTGTGAAAAACTTCTGGAAAACGCGGAAAATTAGCGAATATTTAAGTGACAGTGATTTAGAAGAGGAAATGGAGTGAATAATGGCGATTTCTCAGGTTAGTAGGAAGAAAATGCATATACAGTTGAGGCCGGATATAACGAACTTGAAAA